GCGCCGCGGGGCCGCCGGAGCCCCTCCGCCCTGCGCAACCGCGGCTCCTGGGGCGGCAGGACGGCCGGCGGGGGATGCTCGGCGGCGGCTGCCGGCTCGGGGGACGGGCCGCCTGGGCGGGGAGCTGCTCACGCCGCGAGTCCCGGGGGGACGCGTTCAGGCAACACCTTGAAGTTTAAAACCTCCGCGGCACTGCTCGCTCGGCTGCGGCGGGGTGAGCGGGGGCACGGGTGGGCTCGGCTCGTGCCTAAATCAGCCCCCAGCCAGGCTGAGGTGCGGTCAGCCCCACGAGAACATCGAGGGTTGCTTCCCGCCGCACGAGGAGCCCCTCGCAGCTCACGCGGACCAGAAGTGCCCTAAAGCAGCGGCGGTGCGGGGCTGCCGCTCCTGGGGCCATCGGCGAGGAGCCGGAGTTGACTCCGCGCCGAAAAGCCGCTCAGCCGCTCGAGCGACTTGGGCCTGGCACGCTGCGCCCTGAACGTTTTGGCATGCAGCAGTAATTAGCATATATTAATGAGCAATTAGCATCTGGTAATAATCATTCATACTCCAGTGACACTTGGATTCGCAGTCCCCGACCTATGCATTGAGCTCGAGTTAATAATAATAATTGATGGCGCATATATAGAGCTCTTTGAAGATTGCTTTCTTCGGGAGGCGCCGCAGCCGGAGCGCCGGGGACGCAGGGAGCAGCAGAGCGGGGCTGTGCGGGTCCGGAGCCGGCAGAGGGCTGTACGCAATTAAATATTAGTGCTGATCGGTCCTCGAAGTGTGGGAATTGTTCCCCTCGCCCGGTACAGTTTTGCTGCTCCTTCAGACAAAGTTTGACTTTTCAGTCAGTTGTCAGAAAAAAAATGGGCAGGTTGAATAGAGTATGGGCTGCGTCTGACTGGATTGCTCAGATGATGCCTTGGAGAGGCAGCTGAGCTCATTCCAGCTTCACACCGCAGGAGGATCGTTCCCCCTCTCAGTGCTTGTCCTCTTTTCTGCAGGCCGAGGTTAGCTGGGCCACAGGACGCAGCAGAGGACACCTTGTATCTCAGTGCTGTAAGGAGCCGTCAGGAGGTGGAGAGGATTAGAGCCCGGCCTGAGGTTGTCCATGGAAAGCTGAGTGGAATAGAAGGGTATGGGGAAGTTAGCTGACAGCTGGCTGAACATGAGCCAGCAGTGTGCCCAGGTGGTCAAGAAGGCCAATGGCATTCTGGCTTGTATCAAAAATAGTGTCAGCAGGGTCAGGGAGGTGAAAAATTCTTCTCAGGAGAGTGGTAAGGCACTGGCACACACTGCCCAGCGAGGTGGTGGAGTCAGCATCCCTCGAGGAATTCAAGAAAAAGGTAGATGTGGCACTTGAGGACTTCGGAATGGGTTGAGAGTTGGGCTAGAAAATCTTAGTGGTCTTTTACAACTATCATGATTCTATGATTAGGACAAACAGTTCAGGAATAGAGGTCAGAGAAGGCTGAGCAAGGAGTTCTAGGAGCTCCAAAAGAAAGGAGGTTATGAAGGGTGTCAGTGGAGTGAAAGGGCTGGGGATGGTTGGCCTGTGTGTGCACACAAAGGTGAAACCTGGAATCAGCACGGAGGAACGAAGAGATATGGAGCTGGGAAGGAGCCAGGAGAGGAGAAGTGCTCTGCAGAATAAATGGATGAAGGGAAGTGGGGAGGAGGAAATACTGAGACTGGAGGAGAAGTTGGAGAAAAAGAGTCAGATGAGAGTTTTGAGACAAACATGGGAGCCTGTCTGGTCAGGAAGCAGGGAAAGAAGATAGGACTGTGCTGACACGCTGAGTGTTAGGGTGAGAAAGGAGGTAAGATTATGTGCACCCAGGCAGTGGCCGTTTTTTGTGTCCTAGGACATCAGGGTGTCCTTCTCTGCTCTCTAGCACCAAAAAATGATACCTGCTGGTTGTTCAGTTTAGTGCATCTGAATGGTAACATGGTACCAGGTGCTATTCTGGAGGCACCTGAGTCACTCCAAATGTGTCCTTTACCAGAACTTTGTATCCCCACTTTTATTTAGTATTAGAAATTTCTGTGAAATTCACTCCGTCCCCTTCTAGTCTCATCTCCTTACAGTGTTGATCTCTATAGAATAATAAATCATAAATCTTTCATCAGTTACTTGAGGAGTTTGAACAGCAGAAGCCTCTGTGTTAGATTCAAAAGTTCCTTCCAAGACAGTTAACCCAGTGGCATGAATATTCTGTCACGCAAAGAAATAGTGCTTGTGTTTTTGCAAATGACAACTGGAAATATGAACACAACTGCAGAAGTGCTTGATCAAGATTCAAAACCAAAGGTTAAGAAAACCTGGGGAAAAGATTATCTGCGCAATCCTTAATTGGTTCTTTCATATTTGTTTACTCTGATATACTTTCTAATAACATTATTGCTTTTCTACCATCCTTGCTCACTTGTTTCACAGCACTGGCAGTTGCTACTTGATGAGAACCCTCTCCTGAGTTTTTTTTCTCTCCCTGTTCAGTGTGCAGCCCAGATTTGCTTTTCTGCACGTGGTGTTTGCAACTGCAGACAGGCTTAGGATGCTTTTTATGGTTCTTACCACAATTATGTGAGTGCTTCACGGTCTTGGAAAACATCATGTCTCTGTGAGATAGGATACTTAGGATGCTGGTATATTCTGGACAGAACAGTTAAGGTAAAAGACAGCTGAGAATTCATTTCTCAAAGCAGAGCTCCCATGGATTTTGTTAGTAGCTCTTCTCCAAACGAGGCCTCAGTAGGAGCCACACTGAGCTGCTGCTCATCTAGAAAAGGCTTTAAGCATCTTGCCTGCCAATGCACACATCCTGTCTGTGGCAGGAGCCGGGATCATTTCAAGCTCTTCACAACAGCATTCATCATCTTAATCTTCAGAAGATTATCCTTTCTCTCCAACAGCCTTGTTCATACTTTCACTATTTTTTCTCCCTGAAAATTATCTGGGTCCCAGCTCTGTGTCTGCCATCTAGTTTCATCTAAAAAAAGACTTAAACTATGTTAGCCAGGCTTTTCACCAAAAGCTTCTTCAAAAGGTGAAGCAGGATTCTCATCAACATGATCCTTCTTGACAGCAGACACAGAGTCACACACCAAATAAGGCAGGATCCTGTTTACAAATTAGCAAATGAGCATGCAACACACAGCAAAGGGAATGTGAATCATGTGGCATGGACAGCTCTTTTTTTGGCACATCCCATCAAGTACCAGATTTTGCAACAATAATTCTATTTTTAGGAATGCATGTGTACGTGTGATTATAAAACGTGTGAGCTTAAAGAGAATTCATACAATCTTTGTAGACCATAACTGTAACCATTTTATCAAATAAAGTGTGCTGATTTTTATTCATGTAGATCATTACAAAAGCAAAAAGATAAAGGATATTATTTGCTTTGTGTCTCCAATAAACTACTTGCAGCATCTCTATTTGGAACTTAAGTACTTCCTGTGGTAGAGCAGTGAAAGAGAAGCTTAGGCATTCTGTGTGTCTGGAGGACGTAGTGGAAGGACTGCATTTTGTGCTGGGGGCAACTTTTGATAGGATATGTAAGAACTATAGATGAGTGCTGCTGCTGGACCAGGGGTCGTATCTGGGAAGAAATGCATGTAGAATCACAGAATCAGAAAAATAGAATGGCTTAATTTGTAAAGGACTTCAGAGATCATCTAGTTTCAATCCTCCTACCACAGGCAGGGTTGCCCACTGCTGGATGAAGCACTGTATCAGATTGCCCAGGACCCATCCAAGCTGGCCTGGAACACCTCCTCGGACAGGGCATCCACAGCTTCTCTGGGCAGCCTGTGCCAGCCCTTCACCACAATCTGTGAAAAATTTCCCCATGACATATTATCTCAGTCTCCTCTCCTCTCCTTCAGTTTACAACCATTCCTCCTTTCCTATCACTATCTGTTTTTCTAAAATTTGATTTCCCTCCTGCTTACAATCTCTCTTTAAATACTGAAAGGCTACAGTGAGGTCTCCCCACAGTCTTTTGTTCTCCGGAGTGAACTTCCTCAGCCTATCTTCATAGGAGCCCTCCAGTCACCTTCATGGCCCTCCTCAGGATTCTTTCCAACAGTTCCGCATCCTTCCTGTACTGGAGGCCCCAGGCCTGGACGCAGTACTGCAGATGGGGCCTCACAAAGGCAAAACAGAGGGCGACAGTCACCTCTCTCTCCCTGCTGGCCTGCTCTCTTTTGATGCACCCCAGATTAGTGCTGGCTCATGTTAAGTCTTTCATCTACCAGAG